CTCTGCCCCTTCTCTTTATTGATCCCCTCTCTCATTATATTTCCCTCCTTCATCTAGTCCCTGAATTCAGAGAGTTCATCATCAGTGCAATTCATTCGTAACTTATTTATTTACTTAGGAAGTTTCTGTGTGTAGGTGACCGCGCGGGCGCTGCCTGTCTGCTCCGCCTCGGATGTGCGTGGCAATGCGCTTGCTCAGGACCGTCACCCAGAGGCCCACCGAGTCACATCGTCCAGGGGAACTCGTCTCGCGTCAAGCCATGGGGTTAGGGACTCCTGGGGACCCCGCTTGCTGTTTGCAACACGAAAGCATATGCAGCCCCTAAACATCCCAAGAGAGAAAGGCTGGAACCGAGGACTGACTTAGCCCTGGTGAAAACTAACCCACAGCCCAGCCCCTTGGCGCTGTCCAGCTCTGGAGGCCAAGAGGGGTACCGATTCCCGGCTAGGGCCAGGGACTCACAGACTTAGGCCTCAGCCTTGGCTGCACTTGGGATCGCTGGTGGGGGCGATTTCTGGCGTTAAAGTGAGAGTTCTCTCCAAAGCCGGGTAGAAGGGCGACCCAGGGCGCTGAAAGGGCAGGGAAGGGGAGTAATTGCTGGTCTGACCATCAGTGACGTCAGCCCGAGGGACGTTTGGCGGAGGAGCCTTCCCGACGGCGTCTTCTTCTCCTGAAGGTGGAAGGAGTGTCAGGCACGTGCTCTGTATACTAGGCGGAGGGGCAGAGCACGAGTTCGTGAGCAGAGAGACCGAGAGTCCACGTCACTAGACGGGCCTCGCTTGCCCACGCCTCTCAAGCACTGTGCCACGTTCAGCGACGGTCCAGTGTGGCGACTGGACAGCACTCCATGGGCCCCTTCAAGAACCCTTGCAACCTGTGCATCCACGTGACTGTGTTGAGCCCTCCAACGTGGAGGCCTGGGGGAAATTTTGTAGGCCGGTTACATTTCCCAACTGAAAAAGAGGTCTAGGCACAATTCTTATACGCTTCCAGTGCCCCTAGATTCGGATGTGAGTTGTGTCGAGGCCTTTGTTTATTTATTTATTTTTCAAGTTGAAGGTTTAATATGGCTGGGAGGGAAATTGTGGCTGTAAGTCCATCATAGCAGGTCACACTGCCTAAGGGATCTTCCAAGCAAAACAGGCAAATATACAACAGGCCTTGCAGATAGTCTCAAGGTTGCACAATAAACTCATGGCATTCCCCCACACAGGCAAGTAAAGGGCCCATTTCAGGCTTGCTTTTATCATTGACTTTTAAAGTTAAAGCATTTGCAAAACATTTTACCTAAAAAGACAAAAGGAAGGCACATTCCCCCCCTCCCCTGCCAAAGTTGATAAGAATAGTTGAAGGCTGACTCTTAAATCTGCATTCCAGATTTAAAACATAATATGAAGCTATTATGAAATAAATTAGTGTCTGGGAGGTGGGAGCCCAAATTAAACATTTCCTGGTTAATTTCAATTTTTATTTCCTGTTCTAGTATGTAAACTTTCCTCCTCCTTTCCCCCATAAAATCTTCTCCCATTCTGATAACTCATGACAGACTGGTGTAGAAAATCTGCCTGAAGGATCAGCTCAGACAGTACTGACCTTCAGGGAATGGATTTTTCTTTAGTTTTCAAAGCTGGCACAGTCCTGTTCTTAGGAAAAGAGAAATGGGGTGAAGGAATGAGCTCAGAAGTTTGAAAGAGGAAACAGACATTCCTCTTGTCTCTCCCTCCCCCAAAGCCTTTAATACTTTGCAGTTAACATTGACTCCAGGAAAGGGGGGGGGGGGAACAACTTGATAATAAACCTTGTGAAATAAGCATATTGTCATCATAAAGGTTTAATTTTGCAACTCCAGCAAAGAATATTATTCATTTACTTTCTATTGTTCTCTAAGTTTTTATTCTTAATTTAAAATTTTAATGCCATTATTTTCTTCTGTACAACCCATTTTTGAAATAAAGGATATGTTTTCAATAGTGAAAGTCTCTGAAGGTCTATAATATTATTATTTATCTGAATTTTGTAGCTCTGAGGGCTATATATGCGATGTAATTGCTTTAACATGTTTTCATAAATTACATTCAGAAATGTGTCATAGTAAATTACCTTTGTAATAAAATGTAAAAAATGCAAATGGCTGTTGTCTTTATTACGTTTTAAACCATTGGTTTATCTGCACTATTTCACTTGTCACTTGCACAATATGTTGGCTAAAGGGGCGGCACAGTTTGATAACAGAGAGCTGGGTCCTATGTGTAATCTTGCAGGCACGTACAGTTTGGGTCATTTCCTCATCTCCCGCAGAAAAGACATTATCTGGCTCATATTTACATACTTTTCAATATTTGTCAAACAATCATAAATTATAAATTAATGAAATGTTCGACAGTCTTCAGAGATCAGACTAATGAAGACATTTACCTTTTTGGTGATTCTGAGTCTCATCTTTGTAAGTTTAATGACATTTCGATACTCACGCTTTATTAGGCTTTATTAGATTTGTCTTTCACTCCCGCTGTCATTCAGATGTCTGTGCTGAAACATCACCTGCTTCAGGTAGAAGGACAAATAGACTTCAACCCAGAAACCTCCAAAATAGGGACTCTGTCACCTTAGATTTAAGAATTAATGTTGAGTTGGGTCTAAAGACCACTGGAAATTTTTACCCTTCTTAACTGTTTTAATGAGACTGATGTAACACTTATTTCACTAGAAGGCAATAACATGGATACTCAGAAAGATGTAGGGCTGAGATAGACTGTAGTTGCAAAGTGATTTACAGCAGCAATATTAAGAATGAGGGAGATCAGCTCTGACCCTGATTTCACAGGAATTTGGGGGATGTTTTAAAATTTTCTTTGGACTGGGGATGGGCACACAGTTCCTAAACCATCTCTTGAGACCAAAGGAAGGGGACTCACTTAGAACTCAGCCTAAATCTTGGCATCATCTCACTCAGCTTTGAGCTCCTCTTTTCAGATGTCATCACCCCTGGGAGCTGGATGAACCGTGTGTCCTCGGAGGGAACGCTAGGTGTGCGTCTGCTCAGCTCAGGACGGCCTGAAAGGGATGGTGCAAGCGCCATGCATCTGTGAAGCTGACACATTTCCCTGGAAAACCTTGGCTCTCCACCTCTCATTATGATTGATGGCCACGAGGCTTTTTAATAAAATTATAGGTGATGAATTTAGTTCAATCCAGAGAGGTCAAACGATCAGCCTTGACTTAAGATTCAAATAGTAAATCACAGGAAACAAATGCACATCGTCCTCACCATCCCCAACCAGCAGGCCACCAGGATGGAAGTGAGCGGGGGCGTTGGCGCCATCTTACTCCAAACAAAGGGAAGGAACGGAGGAAGTCAAAATGTCAATGTCTCTGTCCTCAGGTTGTGTAATTTTATTAGTCCTCTGGCAAATTTTATCAACCCGTGTTATACACACTTCCCCGCTGGGCCAGCAGACGCCTTGCTTCTCTCAGGCTTACCCATGAGGGACATACATCCTTCAGGACACAGAGGTGTTTGTGGAGCTGAGATGGGGCTCCTGGAAGCGGGGAGCTCAGAGTCACTCTGAATCATCTTTAAGTAGAAAGAGATTGTGTGTGTGTGTTTGTGTGTGACAGAGAGCGAGCGCGGGGAATCTGTAAGAGGTTTTAAAGGGCGCTGCCCCGGCCTTTATAGGGATCCACAGCGTACCAGTCAGCCGACTGGCTTGGAGCGAAGCGCAAGGCTTTCGCTGGGAGGAGAGCAGGAGGGGTACTCCAATTCTCTCTCGGAGCAGGGACTCAAGAATTTAGCCTTTGCCCCTTTATAAAATATACATCAGGAATAAAACGGCAGCCCATTAAAGGCCACCATCAGTACCTATAGAAACGTTGAGAGCGACTTCAAAATATTTCCAAACACTACTTTTGTAATACACAACGGAGAGTTATTAAGCGGCTTCTTGGTGAAGCGAGCGTGGCTTCCGCAATCATCAAAAATTGATATGTACCGCTAGTAAAGTAATTATGCGCCATCCTGAGGATAAGGGAGCAGGCAATTGTTAATCCACTTGCACACCCGTTGACTTGCAGCATCAAGCTGCAAATAGCTTAATTAAGTCATACACGTGGACTATAACCATATTGTTCCGTTGCATTATGCACACTATATCTCAATTTATTGGGACAATTGATGCGAGAGCTCCACTTTGGGTGGGAAAGTCATCCACCCCGCGCCCAAGTTCCTTTCTGTGGGTACTTGCCCAACTCAGAAAGCCGAGAACAGGGAGAACTAGAGAGAGGGAGGGAGAGAGAGACAGGAGAAAAGAGAAAGGGGGATCTTTCGGGTAGGGAGTGAGTGAAATATGAGTGAAATATGTCGTGAGTAAACGTTGGCCCAGTGGCCTTGTCTGAATGGAGTGCCCTAAAAGCTGAGGTTAAGCCGGTGCCTGGGACGGACCACAGGTTCATCACGTCAGAGCTGGACAGGTATTTAATTGGGCTGAGTCCCTAGTAGTTTAATTATAACTGTAAAGAGCAAAGCAGAGGCTGTTCATCAATCATATGGAATCTTCAGCCCAGAGGTCAGAGGTGTGTTAGGACAGTTATGTAAATCACTCCACCCCACCCTCACAAATGTCTGTTGGCCACAGGCAGTTTGTTCTTCTGAGTGAAAACTACAGGAATCTTCAGAAGAAAGCCAACAGATCCCCCCATTTCAGAGCAACCTAGGCACTGAAGTCAGTCCTGGAATCCCTCTCGCTCCCGCTGTCCTTCTTGAGGGTGTAAATACTCGAGGTGGTGCTCGACCAGGAGCGCTGTCTGAGAAAGGACCTGGGCAGCAGCCAGGACAGGAGGGGAGGGAGGGGACCCCGCGGAAAGCCAGGGATGCTTGACTCGGCTTCCCCTGCAGGAGGGAGACTCCGAGGCCTCGGCTGGACTGTGTTGTGCCCCCTTCTCTGTGGACACCCCCTTTTCTTGAGGGCCCGTGGGAGTGCTCTAATTTAGGTCTGAGGTGCACGATGCCCAGAGTAGGAAAAACGCTGACGGAACTCGTTCTCACTGCCTCTTCAGACCAGGTGGGGGCCAGGAATCACCTTTCTCAACTTCCGACACCACAAGGAGCGGAGGACTCCAAGCGGGTTAAGGGGCTGGTCGGCTCTGTGCCCCTTAGAGCTGGTTGGTGAACCAGCCTCGGGTCTTGTGGATGTTTAGTCCGGTTTGTCCCACAAGATGGGGACGTTGATTATGACAGTCATTTCAGAGACGAGGTCTGGTTTCCGGTCTGCTGCTTTCCTGCAGGGTCCTGGAGCAGGTGGGGGCGACAACTCTCACTCCGGAGGGCCCAGTCGGCTCCTCCCCGCCCGCTTGCTCTCGGGTCCTCGAGGCCCAGGGCAGAGGTTTCCTCCTGAAAAAAAAAAATAGGCATCCCTGCAAGAAACACTTGCAAAGGAAGCTCCGAGGTGTTAACCTGGAGTGAGCGCGTGCGTGGCCTGAGCCTCCCGGCCGCCCCGTCTTTCCACCAGTCCCCCCTTCCCATTCGTTCCCCTTCGGCTCCAAAAGAAAAGCGAGCGCCTTGTCTTCTCCAGTCCCTGCGGGAGGCTTTCTTTGGAGTCTGGGGCACTGCTGAGCGACCAGGCTGGGGGACACTCCAGGCCTTCCCAGAGGCACGCGGGTTCCCCGGGTTTCCGCATTGGAAGCAGGGGGACAGCCCGGCAGCCTCTAGGACCGGGTCGACGCGGGAGGGGACAGCCAGTCCAACCCCAGGACTGTCGAGGTTCCCGTCAGTTTCCAGGGACCTGATCCTGCATCTCCAGAGCCGGGAGAGGGAGGAAGTGGGTCCGGAGACCTGCTTGTTGTGAGCCTATGCCTCAAGGTCCTGTCCCCACAAAGCCTGCCTCCGCATTTATCGCCAAAACAGCGGAAGTAACCCTGACACCGGGGCAGTAAATGCTTACTGTGCTCCTTCTCTATGCGCTTTGCACTCTCAGTCCTATTTAAAACGAATGAACCAAACCTCCCGTTTGAAACAGAGCCTACTTTTATGCCCATTTTAGAGATGAGGAAACAGAAGTGAAAGTCACTTAGTCGTGTCCGACTCTTTGCACCCCACAGACTTTACAGTCCATGAAATCCTGCAGGCCAGAATACTGGAGTGGGTAGCCTTTCCCTTCTTCAGGGGATCCTCCCAAACCAGGGATTGAACCCAGGTCTCCCGTATTGTAGGCGGATTCTTTACAGCTGAGCCACAAGGAAACAGAGGGCTGGGACTTTATTCAGGGACCCTTATGAAGTGGCACGGCAGGTGCTAGGGGCAGGGGGCCCTGAAGGCCCCAGGGTTCTCCTTTCCTGGGCTGCATCCCCCCTTTGGCTTGGGGAGGTGGAGCACGTCAGGGGTGCCTCCCCTTTCTCTGCCCCTGCAGCATCTCCAGTGCTAATCCTTGTTCCTCTGGATCGTTCTGTCCTCTTTCCCAGCCATGCCCCTAACCATCTGTATGGGGGCGGCGGGGAGGTGTCTTCTGGGTTTAGCCTAGATGAGGCTGCTGCCCAATTCGCCAACTCCTTCTGAAGACCCGCCCCCTTCACACCCGCCTTAGCCTGGAGAGTCTCAGTGATTCTAGGACAGAGTTCATCCGGAGGCCTTCCTGGAGACGGTGGTCAAACTGGCAAACCAAATTAAATCCTGTGAGGGCCGGGTCCGAGGAATGGGATCCTGGGTGCTTTCTGATCCTGCCTTACATCTTGAGAGGAGGGGCGCAGGTTTTAAGTCCTGTCATCCGTTTTCACTGTCCCCTCCCCAAGTTCTCTGCTTAGCCAACATCAGACTTCAAGAACAAGGTTTAAATAGGATATGTGTTAATTTCACAACTCCCCTTCCAAGTCGGAATGAAGCCACAGTGGCCACTCCAGCCTGTTCCTCTTTGACGCCTAAGGATATTATAGGGGACCCTTAAGAAATTTACTGGGAGTCTAACGCTGTGCAGGCTGGGATCGTAAGGGAGGGACCCATGAGGGTAAAAAACTGAGTGAGCCGAGCTCTTCTGCTTTTCCGCGGTTGCGTGTGGGGGAGGGGGCGCGGTCAGGCAGAGTGGGATGAACACATTTGTCCTTGTATTCAAAGGCCTTAGCTGTCAAAGGCCGCGGCATTTGAACTAAGAACCTGACGCTGGGTCACAAACAGCGGGCCTACCGCCTTCAGACTTAGCTTCTCTCCAGGCTGCGTGCGCTGCAAAGTTTAACTCTATTATCAAAGGGGAAATTGCAAAGTGACTTCTGCAAATCCCAAGACGGGGTCTTGCCAGCAGCTCTGGGGTGGATAGTGGGGTGGGGGACCACAAGAGAGGTGCAAAAAAGAGCGGGGGAAATCAATTGAAAAAAATAAATAAAGATACATGCGGGATTAAATAAACTAAGAAGCTCAGCCGGCGGAACTCCAGATCTGGGTTTTGAAACCGCGAGTCTACCTTTGGCCATCTGGCTGTTGTAAGCTCTGCCCCATGGTGTATGATTTTAGCTGAAAATCTCTTCCGTTGCAGCTTCGCTTTTATTGAATTCATCAAAAGCAAACTTTCCCTGAGTTTTTTTTTTTTTTTTAAGAAGGCTAAAATAATACGCCGACCACTGTGACATTCTCCGCGCCCCGGCCATTTTTCATAACGCCGCGGATCGGCTTTTGTGCCTCTGAGGCGACTAAACAGATGAATAACGAGCAAAGTCTCCCGAAAGTAAGCTAGCAGCTTTTCTCAGCTCGGAAAAAGTTAACTGAAATGAGAGGTGCATGTAAAAACCCACACCCAAAGATGGGGGCCACACTTTTATTACTCTGAATGACAACGACGTCTTTTTAAAAGCAACTAACTCCCACACCCGCGCGGGCGCGCGCGCGCACACACACACACTCACACACACACGAGCACATTTGCGCACACAAACCACACAAACTTTAAGCCTTGTGAAGCTGCCCAGGTGGTGTTTAGGAAATTTGGGTAAAGAAAGAATGAAGGAAGAAGTGCTTGAGGCAGCTTCTAACTGGCAAGATGCGAGAAGGGTGAAACTTGGTTTTGTTTAGTTTTTGTTTTTTATTTTTTACATTGTAGCTAGTTTGAAAGTTGGTTTCTGGCAAGAGGAAAGAAAAGGCTGCAGCATTAACAGAAGAATCAAAGTGTTAAAAGGACGCCCAAAATGTAGTATTGTGGCAGGTCGGGGTAAGTCACTTTTTTTTTTCCCTCTCCTATGTTCTCTTTGGTTTTGGATAGCAGTAAAAATGCACTTCGGGAAGAGTTTTTCCTCTCTAGAAACCTGTTGTTTGGGGGGAAAAGAAACTAACTCCAGGCTCGCTCCTGGGATGGCTGCCTCCTGCTACTTTGCTGTGTTTTTGCGGGCGTTTCCCAGGGAGGCGTTTTCTCCCCGAGCCCTGTGGCCCGGGAGCCCGGAGCGCCCGGGGCTTGGAGAGCCGCTCGGGCCGCACAGGCAACAAGTCCTGGCCTCTGGCCCCGGGCGAGCGCCGCGCCGCGCCGCCGCTGAGCCAGGGGCTCGCCTCGCAGGAATGAATTTTGCACGTGTAAACTATTTGCCTGTGGACGCGCACAGCTGAGACCCTCTGGTTTATCAGGGGGAAAAACTCTCCCCTTAAATGGAGGGTTTCGGAAAAAGTCAGCCATTGGTTCTCGCCCAGATGATTATTGATGCAAAGTGAACCCTACGGGTTGGAGCGCGGGCGCGTTTCTTTAACCCTAAAAGTCTTCCACTTCCGAATTGCTTACGCTGACATCCACTCGAAATCGCTTGTATCTTTTTTTTTTTTTCCAGGGGTGGGAAAAATAACTAGGAGTGAGCTGTGGGAGATGGTGTAGACATGTATTAGTGTGAGAGACACATCTCACCGGAAAGCGATACCTCATGTTCGCTGAATTGTAGAAAAGTGGCCCCAAAGAAACTGGAAAGGCGGCTCCCAGCGCGCGCGCACACATTTCCACAGATATGTGTTGGAGATGCGTACTTATATGCATTTTACTCTCGCGAACCCGCGGCTCTGGGATTCGGTTTTGTGGTTTGAATAATATTGTTGGTCTGCTGTGTATTTCATGACACGAATATTTAGGCATCCGTGCCGAGTGGTCGTTCATTGACGCGCTAAACCTGCAAGCGTCTTCCATGAGCCAGATTTTAATCAGTTTTAGTTCTCCCCTACTCAGGAAAAGTGGAAGAAACGCAAACTGCGCCAAAGGTTGGGCAGAGCCGATCCAGTTGTTGGCAAACAAGTCTTTGCAGTTATTGCTGAGGAAGCCCAGAGAAACTGACTTAGGGAGCCAGAGAGAAGTTGACAAGAGAGCTGATCGCGAATCGGAGGCGATTTTGTTCATTAGCAGGCGCGACTCCTGCGCTTGGGTCTGGCGGGGCGAGCATATAAAATGCAACTTTTGCCCCATTGGTTCGCTAGGTGAATTAGCACATACTGGGACTGAACAGTCCTTGACCTTTGCCTTTATGTTTGCGCAAATGTTTGCCTAAAACACAATCGGCCTTGACAAGGGAGCATGTTACCGTGTGACACTGCCTATTCAGCAGATAGATGTTCCCCGCCACACACGGCCCAGAGCAGCCTTTTAAATCGCTTAGGTATTTGTGCAAACCGTATAAATTAATGTCGGGTGATTGCTAGTTGCTAGTTACATAGAAGACAGTTTGGGTGTGGCATACACATCTCTCTCTGGTCTTTTTTTTTTTTTTCTCTCACCCCCCCCCTTCAAAAATTCAATAAGATAATCAGGAAACAAAACTGGTAGTGGAGAAAAGTTTATATTTGGGGGAGTCAAGAGATTCTTGTTTGATCACAGCCATGACACAAGACTGTATTTCTCCTACAAATGACTTTTCCACAAAGATGGATAGTGGACGAAGGAAGAGAGAGGAACAGTGGGGAGAACTGGGGGACTAATGCTCAGGACAACTGGTAATGGGGAGGTTTAGGAAAGAACCCAAAGATCCTGGAGGATTTATTGTTCCTGGAGGAGCAATGAGAGTGAAGAAGCTCTCAGGGTCCCCAGGAACCCTGTGGGACTGGGGAAGTTTTCTCGACTTTTGAGTTTTATGGTTCTGAATACTTCCTCCAATAAAACTAAATACTTTAGCAGGTGGAGAAAAAATCTAAATTTGGTTTAAACCCTCTTTTTAACGAGTACTTTGTAGATCCGAAATGATTTAGAGGGCTGGGCTGCCTTCCCCTGAACTTTGACATAGGGGAAAAAAATGAACTTCCCTTGGCTTTGTTTCCTAGCTGGCTTCAGAATTTTCCACATTCCTTTCTTTGCCATCAAGATGGCAACACACCACCAATTTCCAGGGCTTAATTTCTGTGGCAGGTAGATCTGTAGTAACAGGGAGGACAAATTAAAAAGCACTGGGGCATTTGAAGCACTCCCTGTAGGGAGTGTCATTCCTTTGGGTGAGTGGAGTGTTCACTTTGTTCCAAAAGGATGGTGTTGACCAGAGGAGCCTGAACTCGAGCCACAGTCTGGGGATGCAGATTTGAATGTCCCGAGAGCCTCTGCGGTTTCTCCAAACGCTGGCCGGGTCTCTTTGAGGTTTCCTTTAAGCTTCTACAGGTGGACAGGAGGGTGGGTCACCGGTTCTCCTTGGAAGCCCTTCTCTAGTTCTCTGGGCTGAATTTACTTTTTCACTCCCGGAGGTTATGGGTCAGAGCTGGGGGAAGTTTGTTTAACATAAACCTTTGTCCCCCATAGAATTTTGGTGTAGCACAAAAACAGTAGAAAGGTAAAACCAGCAAGCCCAGAATGCAAAAGAAAAAGATAAATTTGAGAACAAGTAACTTGCAGAGTAATTAGAATCAGGAGGGGCTCAAAAGGAAAATAAACGTAACAGATATAGAGGAAAATTAAGGACACTACTACTTTTCAATAATTCCTCCTTAAGAATTTCTTCATTTACATATAAGATTTGTTAGTTTATCCTTGTTATTTAATTAATAATGTGGTAGGTATGATTCATTTCAAAACAGTATGTCAGTTTCACAGAAAACAATGTGAATGATAGCCTGTGTATTTTGCCTTTAGGTTTAGGAATGTAGGAAATTGGATATACACAGAAATATGACTTAAGTTCTCAGAGAATATTTGCTTGTTTTATTAAACTTATAATCATTTAAACTATTAAAAATTTTTTTTCATTTAAAAGTAAAATGACTCTAGGTATTCCCTTTTCCCTCCTTGCCCCTTGTCACCGTTCCCCAATCTTTTAGAGAATTTAGAAATTAAAGAGGTAGAATGTACATTTTAGGGCTCAGTCCTTTGAGGTATTCTACAATGATGTGGAGAAATATATGGAGGAATATATATGGAGGGCATAAAATGTTTCTGGCCCCTAGCAATGTGTTTCCAGCTATCCTACAGTTGTGCTTGAGGTAGATGAAGTTTGTTCAGGCTTATGGGTGAATTGGGACCTAGAATCCACAACCCATGATGATGAATATAAAAGAGAGGTTCAGGTCTACTTGTTGTAAAACTCAGTTTAGGAAACCAAGACGTTTCCAAATTTGCTTAGTTTTAAATAGATACATTTTAATAAACCATATCTGGTTAGAAAATATCTGTTATATAAAACAGATTTCACATATATTCTAGGTATCAACAATTATTTAGTCTCTGTTCATTTAGTTATTCTATTATAATAAGTCAAATTGAAGAGATGATCAATTCAATCTTATTGCTGGAAGACATCTAGAAATTGTGCATATTTTTGGCCAAAGTTAAAATATCATCAAATATTTATATTGTGAAGTCTGTATGTGTTTTTTTCTGGCAGTGCTCAAGATTACATATAGTAATTTTATTGACACAAAATATTGATACAGAGTTGCCAAAACCATTCTTATTAAAATGAATAACACAACTTTAATGGAAAATAAAGGAGGAAAAATTTTTATCATTTCTGAAAATAATCACGCTCTTATAGTAATGTTATTTTCCTTAGAGGAACAAATAGATCTAAAATTAGTTTATAACTACAGTTGAGAAATGAAGGTAACTGATTTATTCTTATGAGTTGAGTAGTTCAGAAAATCTTTGCTGAAAATTTATTTGCATATGAAATTAACATTCATTAAAGGTAAAATGATTGCATTTGGCTGACACTAAAACTTTTAACATCTTTTAGATCATTCTATAATATACAGTAACTTATGTGTTAATAATAATCTTACTGATGACTATAAAATGACATCTGCCAGGATCTGTGAATTTTGTATTTATCTTACTATGCAGTGAAATTATTAATAAAGTGAAAAAGTAAAGTTTCAGGTGCTGGAGGGAGCACCCCAGACCTTCCTACCATTTTATCCCTTCAAAGATAATTCTTATCCCCTAATTCATGCAGACATGGCTTATATTGTTTTAATAATCTGCAACAATTACTTGCTATTAAATTCCATTCTACTCAGTAAGTGAACACTTACAGATGGCTTAAAGGCATGCGAATTTTACTATTAACGGGGGAACTTGAGTTGAAACAGCCTAAATTTGCCACCCCTAGACATTGTGTTTATGCAAGTGAATAGCCAGGCTGTATTAAGGTTGGGGTTCAGAGACCAGCTCTTTCCTGGCTGATGACAAGTCCAGGTTTTCTTGGTACAGAAAAGAAGAGTCCTTCTCACTTCCTTCTTGATACACAATCTCCAACCAAATTGTGCTCCTGTTTCCAACGCCTATGGGCATTTGACACCAGGCCCTAATTACCTAGTCCTGGCCAAGAGAAGGGGGAGGCTGGGGTAATACTGAACTGGGCTTGGATGCCAGGGGGCATTTCCAAGGGGTCATGCCGATCTTCGTCCTGAGAAGTGAGATTTAAGATCTGGATAAGCAGAAATTGTTCCTGTGGACAGTTGTGGAAAATCCACCCCCTCCATCTTAATCCTCTCTCTTTTTGGTAAAAGTTGTGAATTCAGAGTTAAGGAAGAGGGAGGGGTGAAAATATTAGAGAGGGGTGAAGGGCCCCAGGCGCCGGCCCGGGAAAGATCCCGTACCGGAAAGTTCTGGGAACACATTCTCAGCTGACATTTCAGGCGTTCCCTTAACCTGTCAGTAGGGCTCAGCGCAGCGTGTTAATCAGTTCTTCTCCGAAGCAGATTCCCACTCTGCGCGGAGGCGGGTACCGCGAGAGCCTGCGGAGGGCTGGGGGCTCGTTTTCAGATTTATCAGGAAGCCGGCTGGTGGGGGAGTGAGGGGCCGGCAGGGAAGTTTTCCTGGCTTCCTACGCGGTCCCTCGGGCTTTCTGGACCCCTGTTTACGTGCAGGACCCTGCCTCCCGCAGCAGCTCTTGGGACCAGCCCCTCTGGTTAGCTCCATCCTCCCTGCGCCCCATCTCCCACTTCCTCCGACTCCGCACACCCTCTCACCCCTTCCTGCTCTCTGTCGTTCCCACGTCCGCTAGTCCCCACGCGCCTCCCCAGTCCCTCCCAGCCCTTGCCTTTTCCCCTCTCTCCCTCTCCCCCACACAGCCACCAGCTCCACATTCGTCCTGCATCCCCGACTCCTCT